TATATGTACATATATATGTATATGTATATATATATGTCTATGTATATGTATATGTATATGTATATACGTCTATGTATATATATGTCTATGTATCCATATATACTTCTCAGCCTTATGTATTATCCGCTGCTCTATTTGTAGCCTGAATTGGTATCTGACATTCTATTCACCCCTATATATTTCTTCTGTTCTTTTTGTAGGCTGGTGAGGTGGCTGACCGTGTTGAAGCCGTCGTTGCCGACGTCGAAGTAATCCCGGAGAAGCTAGAGAAGGTCATGGAAGATCTAGATGGCGTGCCAGAGGAGATTGAGACTGTCATTGAGGACGGGGAGAAAGTAGTCGAACAAGCAGAACACGTTGTGAGTGATGGTGGCGCGGCTGTGTCTGAGACAGAGAAGGTGGCGGCTGATAGTGAGGTGGTCCTGAATAAGGTCGAGGATGTTGTGCAGAAGGCCGAGGACGTTGTGAGCGAGGCGCAGGAGGTGGTAGAGGATCTTGAGCGCGTGGCTAAGGATGTAGAACCGGAACAGCCTGTCGGTATGTTTATATGCAAAACGGTATATGTATAAATGTGTGTGCTTGAAGATTGTATTGACTGTACTGTAGTTGAAGAGAGGAAATTGGAGTCATCTGCGGTTTGTGTATGCAACTACGCAGTTAGTAATTATTGTGCAGCATATACTTGTATGGTCTTGGATATACCTTTCATATCCTCGCCACATTATCATGAAAAACAGGATATAAAACAAAATATAAAACATCACATCCACGAGTATGTGCCACTACAGCTTTCTTCTTTTCGACTGTTCAAGTCGAACTGCGACATGTTATTCACAAACCTTTGCCTATCTCTGCGACACCCCACTCCCACTCAAGCCCCGAGCGAAAGCGAGAGTATGAGCGACTCCAGCGACAGTGACAAGAAGCGCGAGAAGGACCGTGAAGTGGCCAAAGAAATTGAGATGGAGAGAGAGACCGAGATCAACGCTGTCAAACAAACCGAGGCTCAGATGAGGGTGGAGGTAGGTATTCGCCTGTAAGTATACTTCTGTAGGTATTCGTCTGTAAGTATACTTCTATAGGTGTACGTCTGTAGGTATACGTCTGTATGTATACTTCTGTAGGTATACGTCTTTAGGTATTCGTCTGTAGGTATACGTCTGTAGTCCTGTGCGGGTAAGATGGTTGTTTAATTAAGTATAGTTGAGGAAGGGGTTTATGTGTGTCGATTGGTGAAGGGGGATGGTCTGAGTGCGCAGTTGGGAGAATGTATGAGGCTCTCTGCAGGAGCACGGTGTGATGGTATCTCAGTCATCATTCTGCACGGGTTCTTTGTGGTCTTCCACTTGATGTGTTTAGTTGCTAGTTGTGAGTTGTGGCTCCGGTCGCCCGTAGCCGACCCACAGTTGCCGCCTGCGAGTTCAGCCAGTGATACGTAGCTCACACTCTAGTCGTGCGGGTTGTTGAAAGTAACTTACTGCATAGTCTGTTGCGTGTTCTATTGATCGGGATGATGTAGCCGATAACCTATGACCACCAAAGGTTACTGCACCAGAGTATACCAATTAATTAGACCGTGTATTCATCAGTGTAGTTCACATACCCATCTGGTTCCGTGCTACAACTCGGTGTATCACATATATAACAATCGTTTTACGGGTCAGTCACCAGTTTGCGATGTACCAAACACTATCGCAACGCATCTGCCATATCGCCTACGCTTCAGAGGGAAGCCAAGGAGAGAGCCGACCGACTGAAGGAGGCAGCCCGCGAGAAAACCGAAGCACTAGAGAAGCAGGAGCTAGCAAAAGCAGAACACGAACGCCAGGCACAGCAACAGGCGGACGAGGAAGAACGGGCGCTGAAAAAACAGAAGAAGGCGGAAGAGATGGCCAAAGTAGCCAAGAAGCAGGCCGAGCACGCGCAGAGAGAGCGGGAGGAGAGGGAGGCCCTGCGCCAGCGGGTGGAGGCGGCGAAAGCGGCCGAGGCCGAGAAGACGCAGCGTATGAAGGAGGATTTGGAGAGGGCGAAAGTGGCGGCGGAAATTAAACCCATCAAGTCAACAGGCAAAGAGGCAGGTGTGGGTGTGGGTGTGGGTGTGGTAGCGTGTACTATGTATACGGCTTACGAGGGTTTACTGTACCGGTTATTGGTGTAGTGTAGCTGGTTGTATGGTGGGGTGGTAGTGGGCGTGGAATGGTAGTGGGTGTGGGTGTGGTAGCGTGTACTATGCATACGGCTTACGGGTTTGCTGTACCGGTCAACGGTGTAGTGTAGCTGGCTGTATGGTGGGGTGGTAGTGGGTGTGGAATGGCAGTGGGCGTGGGTGTGGTAGCGTGTACTATACATACGTTTTACGGGCGTATGCTGTACAGGTTATTGGTGTAGTGTACTTGGTTGTATGGTGGGGTGATAAGGGGTGTGGTGTTTGATGCGTGTTGTAGTGCGGTTGATTTTTTGGCGAAGGCTGATACCTCCTCAGACACCAAGTACAAAGTGTCTCTAAGCAACGGGGCGGATGTGGGGTGGCTCATAGACCTCACTGCATGTTGCACTCGCATATATTATGGCTTTACTCTCAACTGTCATTGTGTAATTGAGTATTCTTCGTTGTTATGTCAGGCTGTATATTCATTTATACCAATTTTACGTACATACACACACACGCACACACGAGCACACATTCGCACGCGCACACGCACACGCACGCACACACATACGCACACGCACACGCACGCACACACATTCGCACATACACAGATACGCACACATTCATACACAGATACTCACACGTACACACACACGCACACACACACGCGTATATATATATATATATATATATATTTATAATATATACATATACATACATGTATATATATATATATATATATTATATACATATATATATATATATACATGTTA